TTCTGGACTCAACTCAACTACAAGTACAAATCCTCTACTTCTTCTTCTCGTTTACCAGCTGTAAACTCCGGCGGAAAGTTTTGGTTGTTTAACTACCTCTGGACGTTAGACTTGTTCCAGGACCTGAGTGTTGCGTGCACGTGCCCTTTTACAAACCTGACTTATTTGTATGCAGACTGTTGGTACACTGCCTCTCCGGTGGATGCGCTCCAACTTCGAAGAAAGCCCCTAAAAAGTCGATTATTACGACATGCTTGTTGGGCAGGCAGTTGGTCCATTCTTGTTTTACCCCAATGGACCCCCGGACATCCCACCGGAACAAGTACAAATGAACTCACTTTCAAAATTGTTTCACGCCCCTCGAAACTTTGCACCCAGAGGTTCGAGACAACTGCACTAGAGGCTGGCAATTCACATTGTGCAAGTGATGAGAAAGGAGAAACTTGGATGCGTTGTGACAAAATCAAAAGTGTTGGGGAGGGGGGAGGCGGATAAAGGGTTTGGGGGGGGGGGGGGGTATGTCTTTACAAACGTAGGAGATATTTTTCAAAACATTTTGGTATAGGGCGACAAATTTACCAGAAATCAAAGGCAGGCCTCGAGACAAATCACAGCCATAGGCCAGATGAGATTACTAAATTCATATGGCTTATTCTGTAAAAGAAGTTTGTGACGATAAAACTGTTGTATATTGAAAGTCGTGCCTATGTGGGATGTAATTTATAGTTATTTTGAAGCCCCAGGCTGGCTTTTACCAGGGGCCCTGAATATAGCCTAACGTGCTAGGGGTTTCAGTGACCTCTCCACTGGTGATGCTCATCCGCATTGTGGCCCTTTGTGTCACCGAGTGTTTATCGCTTGTGTTGATGTCCTGATGGGGTGCAACAAGAGAGAGAGAGAGGGAGAGAGAGAGAGAGAGAGTGAGAGAGAGTGAGAGAGAGATAATACTGTTACTTCGATTACTCAACTGTAAGGGGGGGGGGGGGAGGGGGGGGGGGGGAGAGACTGGTCATTCTTCTTCTCTTCTTCACTTCCTCTTTTACCGCTGTGGGTGTCAAGGGAGATATAAGGTTCTGTTTCTAGCTCTTCTGGCCGCCTCGACCATAGGCACATCGTGCTGTTGTAGAGTTTCTCTGATGTTATCCTTATATCTTGTTATTGGTCTACCTCGTGCTCTACGTCCTTCTTCTCTTTCCATGTATGCTTTGTATGGTATGGTGTCACCAGGCATTCTCTCTAAGTGGGCAAACAATTTCACTTGCTGTCTTCGTATGTAATCCAGAATTGGTTCTGTGCCGACTTTTTCTCTTATGATCTCATTCCTGATCTTATCTCTTATAGTCACTCCTACAACCCTTCTCAGACATCTCATTTCCGTGGTTACTAATTTTCTTTTATGGTTTGTTGTGAGTGACCATGTCTGGCACTGGTAGCACAGAGTTGGAATAAATATGCGTTGAATAAGATGTCTCTTTGTGCTGATTGGGATTTTCTTATGCTGTAAGAGGGGAGCTAGCTGTCCCAATACTTGGTTTGCTTTACTGCATCTAATGTTAATTTCTTTATCCAATTTCCCATCTTCGGTAAATGTAGTTCCCAGATATTAAAACTCAGATGCCTGTTTAATGCCTTTGCACTCTATTGCTATGTTTAGATCTGTCTTCTTTTTTTCCTATTGACATTACTTCTGTCTTTTCAGTGTTGATTCTCATATTATTTGTTTTACATTCTTCATTCATGGATATTAGATGTTGTTGTAATTTCATGGCTGTATCTGCTATCAAGGCCTGGTCATCTGCAAAGAGTAATTCGTTGATCTTACTAACATTTTCATTCATGGGCTTGGCATTCTTGCATATACTGTCGATGTAGGTGATAAACAGCAGTGGTGATAAGACGCACCCTGTCTTACTCCAGATGTTACTGTGAATGGATGAGATGTTCCCTTACTGGTCATTACTGTCTGCATTTACCACTTGTGCGGTGCGGACGCCGGGTCTTTGAGCCTGAGGATTAAGGGATTGTTTAATGACATTAAAATATAATTAAACAAGGAATGTGAGATGAAAGATAAAGAGCAGGATTTTAACCTCCAGAAGCTTGAGTGCCAGATTCTAATAACTGTCGAAATACAACCCCTTCTTCATCCGTTATCCATCCTTGAAAAACAATAATAAATTATATTTTATGTTGCATTTATTGTATGTAATGTTTATTAAATTTAGTTGTTAACATTGTTCTCTATTTTGTATCCTATTTTTATCAATAAAAACCTAATAATAATAGTAGTAGTAAGTAAAGTAAAGGACCCTTTTCGGTGCCATCAGGTGTACTGAGGGTATAGTGCTAGATCTATATTTCATAGACCTATCGACACTTGGTAGGGGATGTTGTCACCATCACAACGACCGCCTTTACTTCCCAGGGCTGCCCGTAGTAAACACATGAGGCTGGGTCGACCTGGGAGCCAAATTCATTTTGAAAAAAAAAAATCCGGCTTCGTCGAGACAGGAACACAGGACCTACCGATCCGCATCTAGCCACCACACCACAGCGGTAATTATTATTATTAGCAGGGGCCGCTTTGGTGTAGTGGCTAGATGCGGATCGGTAGGTCCTGTGTTCCTGTCTCGATTTTTTTTTTAAAAAATGAATTTGGCTCCCAGGTCGACCCAGCCTCATGTGTGTGCCATGGAATAATAATAATAATAATAATAATAATAATAATAATAATAATAATAATAATAATAATAATAATAATAATAATAATAATAATAATAATAATACAGCTAACAACGGTGCAGGACGAGCGGTCGGAACAGGATGGAAGCATCAAGCCCAAAAATGGCGCAACACTAGAATTCAGTCACGAAAGTGACTCAAATAACCCAGACCACAAATATAGGCGGAGACTGTTAGCAGTATCGGCTAGCTAGCAGCAGCCTGAAAGTGGTCGACCTTTTCATTTTTTTATCAAAAGGACTTGGACTAATAATAATAATAATATAATAATAATAATAATAATAATAATAATAATAATAATAATAATAATAATAATAATAATAATAATAATAATAACATTCTTCTTCTTCTTCACCATTCCGAGCCCTTCAGGTTCATTGCATCAGATATCACCCGCCTCCATTCATCTATCGCTAAAGTAAAACATTTGAAGACAGTCATAACGTGTGATAGGAGATTCGTGACAGAGATTAACTAACTCATTTGACAAAAGAAAAAAAAAGTAACTTTTTTTTCTCAATTCTGAGACCGTGGGGAATAAAGAACTAGGAATTCTGATATGATGTGTTAATGTAATGAGAAAGAGACATTCTGCATTCTTTGATCATGTGATGATAAGGAGGAAACTGTAATACATCGTGACATTAGGAAAGCTGGAATGGAGGAAAGGCCGAGGAAGACCGAGAGAAGAAAAAAATGCTGGACAGTCTGACATTATCACATGGAGGATCATCTGTATTAGAGTTAATTGAAAGTACACGAGACAGAAGGTTGTGGATGACTACCAACGCCACACGGTATAGACTTGAAGAAGAAGAGTTAAAGTAACAGCTCATTGATCTGTGGTAGAAGAGAGCGAGATCAAATCTAATATCTATGGACTAACCAGTGAACGTATTGTCAGTGTGTTACGCAGTATAGTATTTAATTAATTTGGTCCTAAGCAAACCACCATGCGTTTGTTAAGCTCTCTTACATACACTATTGTTAGCCTTCTGTCCTTCATCCAGTAAATACGCTTAAGTACTCTGCCTCAGTTGTCGCTTTATATCTTTCTCTTTTATGGTGTTACTATTTTATTTCCTTCTGACTCAAACGCCTACTATCCCCGTGTAGGTTCCGGTGTCCCATTAAAAGAAAAACAAGAATAGACCCACTGCCTCTCTAAAACGTATGTCTTAAGAGTCGACTAATTGGGATGGGGGCGAGGCGGAGTGGAGTGCATCTGCCTGATTGACAGGGCACCAATAGTCTGTAAAACGGATGTGCATGCAACATTTAGGTATGGAGCAAGTCCTAAGTCCAGAGGTGGATGAACAACCAGAACTTTCAGCCGGAATTTACAGCCGATGAACGCGAGAAAGAAAAGGAAGGAGAAGATAAAGAAGAATAAGAAGAGGAGGAAGAAGAAGAAACAGCAGCAGCAGAAGAAAAAGAAGAAGAAGAATGGGGAGGAGGAGGAGGAAACAAATTATTGTAGAGACAAAAGCAATGAAGTATATCGTGATTCTGATAATCACGTGAGATGGTAAATCATGATTGCTTACACGTGTCCGTATGGCGAACGATGATGTATACATGTGTGACTTTATCATCACTTCTTATCACAATGGCTTCAGTACCCGTAAACATGCGTAACAATGGCGAGAACCCAACTCAACAGTTCTCTGTTCATTATTCATTTCAAGATCGTACTCATTGCACGTTGGCCATACCCATACGTGGTCCGATCTTCTTCAAAGATGTTTCTTAGTGTGTTTACATTCATGACTCCTGTTCTAGTTCTTTATTGTTTTAAATGGCCACTGGCCATTACGTTATGTGGTCAGCATCCTCATGTCTGAGGTCTTAAGCACGAGTTGGATCTCGTACACCGTTGATATTTTCATTCTGTTTAGAAGGTTCACTCCTTAAGATGGGTTTGCAAGCAATGGCATTCGGCTTTTTGTTTCCGTGCACACAGACATAGAATAAAGACGATGACGGTGTAGGCAGTAGGTGCTTTGCTGGAGTAAAAAAGAATAATCACGTTCAACCAGCATTCCCTAAGGGAAAGCTTTAGGTTATAATTGTGACGAGGTTATGTGTAAACAAACGTGACCCGGAAGTAAAAATGATTGCATAACCCAAGGAAAGAGAACTCGTCCAAATAGTCTGTTTCACCACGCTCTTGACTTCATCTTGGACTAGGTGTCTTCACACTCACAAAACATCAGCAATTCTCACGTTTTTTAGCCAGTTCAAGTTTGCCCAACATCATGGAGTATATCGGTGATGGGGATGGAGTTCTTAGACAGCAACAGTATTCTCTGATGTAAGTTTAATTACAAGTAAAGTGCTGTTTTAAACGTTTCTTGTCTTGTTATTCTGTTGAGACATGACAAGGGGTCCTCGTTAGCGCAGTCGATAAGAGGCTCGCTTTGCTGTCAAATCCAGCGGCGACTCGCTGCAGCCACGGTCGGTGTTCGAAACTGGGCCTCTAAGAAATGGATACCACTTGACACTTTGGCGTAAATGGAGGAACGTCGCTGTACTGTAGCTACAGAGTTACGTGCGAAAGGCACGACACACAGACACAGGCGGACAATTCTTATCATCTGTCCATACTGGTGGCAGAGCACTTACGGTTTATAACTGGTTCACATCTCCCGTCTTTACCTTTGAGTCATGACAGTCACAGTTGACCACAACATTTAATATTCCTGTGATCACACAATCACAAGATATACTAATTAATTGATTCTCCCTTTAAATAACGGTCTCTAGTTGGAAGGCGACGGCCGCTTAGTCGGAGTTTACTCCCCTGGCTGCAGTGCAATTACGGAGTGGACAAGTCACGAAGAAAAAAATCAACGTGAGGTCGACATGGCTGCTAGAGCTAGACCACACGCTGCGACTCACAGTAGCGACCGCGTTCTTCCGACGCAAGACTTAGTGACCGTAGATGTGAGACCTGCGGATCTGTATGAGTGTATGTCATAATGAGCGATAAGCTTGCGTGGTTTCCGTGATGTGTTACCCTAACCCAAACCCTAAGCCTAACCCTAGGATGACAGGTAACTATCTCATTTGTTTCGTTCCCTCTTTTCCACTCCGTAATTGCACTGCAGCCAGGGGACTGAACTCTGACTAAGCAGCTGTCACCTTCCAGCTAGCAACCGTTATTTAAAGGAGAGCCAATTAATTTAATATAAATCTTCATGTTGTGTTTGAAGGAAACAACTTTCAATCAAAATTAATATTATGACACCAGCTTTTGTTTAGAGAAAAAAATAGTATCTTCAGTCTGACAACGCAGCTATGACAAAAAAAAAATATGTATATTTAATTAACTTAGTTCTAAATGGCAAAACTAAACACAGTGACCCTATGGATGCAAAATTGGCTTTTCTCCGAACTTCGTCCACGTATTTTGGCGGCCAAACAAATACCCTAACGGCCTAAATGATGTGTAAATTGCAGACTTCCTTCGACGAACACATCACGGCAAAACTAAGATTACTGTCCGTTGACAATTTTGAAAAACGCAACAATACACACGATAATGGCAACATGGCGGGGAGACCACACACTCAGGCGCAGGTTAGTGATAGTGTTCTTCTGATTAAACTCACCGCCGAGCGTATCCCCCGCGCGGCGCAGATGGGGGGCTAAACTAGATAGATGGGACTCACTAGCAGCAGCTACCGCATCTCCTGCAACTTTATTTGCTCGTGAGTCTCAGCCATCTAGTTTAGCCCCTCATCCGCGCTGCGCGTAGCAGTGCCGGGGATACTGTCGGCAGTGCGGCATAGTCGCAGAAGCAGGTCAGCAGTTAACATATTCCTGAGACCCTGTTAGAGTATAATATTGGCCCGTTATTTGTAAGCAATCCTAGTTTTACCCCAATTTGTTCACCCTGCAGGCACTCCGCATTTTGGGAACTTTCACAAACAGTGGATTACATCCCCTAACATCTCTATCTAAAGTATTAGTAACTTGCAACTAATTGCATTTCCTAGGGTTGCCGTTTTCAGTTTTGCCATAAATTAACCTATTCTGTACAATAGTATTTAAAACTTGTCTTGGCTGTACGATGCAGTCTAGACTCCTATGCACAAATATTATTTGAGATTGGCATACTGTATTTCAGTAAATTATAGTAAATATATATTTTTCATTGAGTACTCACCTTTTTTAGTTACTTTTTTTCATTTCAGTTACCATCTGTATCAAACAGCTGTAGTGGACGATAAAATTCCCAATATGAGAAATTGGAATTGTAATGGCAACACATCAACAAAGCAACTTTAAATAAAAAAATAATCCAAAAATAATCAATAAGACTGAAATAAAATTTAAAGGACAAGCCATCACTGTTTACTTAATTAAGTGTTACAACTTCAGCCTATCATTATCATTAACTTTCCTGCACACTTCATAGTTTTCTGTCTTGTGCTTTCTTTGTGCATGTTTATTTTATAATCCACTCCTTTCTCTTGTCCACTGTCCTGCACAATTACAGTATTTCATTATGTAGAAGACACATCTTTATTTTGAGACCAGAAATTTCTAGGGAAAATAATAATCTGATTACATTAAGGGCTATCTTCCGAATAATTGTCCCAAATTATCGAGGACAAAAATATACCCTAACAGGGCCTCAATTGCATGAAAATTGCGGACTTCCGCCACCGATGAGAGTATCTTCTGTGGCGTGGACTGGGGCTAAACTAAATGGCAGGGATTCACAAGCAGATTAAATGAAGGAAGCTGCTGCTTATGAGTCCCAGCCATCTAGTTTAGCCCCAATCCACACCTCAGGTAGTGGCGTGGGAGATACTCTCGGCTGTGGCGGTAGTCACTGGAAGCGCGAAAGTTAAGTCGCCGGAAGTCCGCGATTTACATGTGACTTGGATTCTGTTAGGGTATATTTTCAGCCTCAATAATTTGGGACCTATATTCGGAAGATAGCCACATAAAGTTATTGAACTCAGGTTTTATCATCAAAGAATACAGAAAACTCATCGTAGTCAACACTGTCATCCATATCATGGTTCTTTAGATTGTTGTTGTCTGTGTCTGATGACGAATAAGTCTTCAAATATTGCCTCATCCTCGGTTCCATCTATGGTATTTGAAATGCCTCCCTTCTTGAATGACTTGATAAAGATCTGTCTTCATATAGCCCCAGGATCTCTTCTCCAGCTGCAAACTTCTCCAATAGTTGGTTGCTTCACACTACCTCCTGGTGTCAGATTGTCCCCAGATGACTTCCTCCATTGGTTCCATTTGTCTCATGGCAACGTTTAAGGGCTTGTTAATGCTTTCAGCAAGTGGTTGAATCTTAGTGGACACAGGAATTCCTAACATAACATGCGTGCAACAGTGAGCGTGAAGACAAGTACATAAACTGTTACAGCAGGAAATAACTTTTAATTTTAAAGTTTCATTTCCATTTTATTCTGGTGCCTTTGAACCAGCATTTCCAGTTAAAGTTGTATACAGGATATTTTCCAACAAATCATTTGGTGAAAATCTGCTACCATTATATACAATGCACACTTCTGAGACCCTACATTTTTGGAACATTAATGGGTCTCATACTTGGGGAAATAAAGTATATACCAACCAATAGTGGCTTTACATCTTAGGGTGTGACCAAGCCACAAGAGTCAGTCTGAAAATAAAAAAACACATTATTTTAAATTTTTATTGATTCTGTTACATTTGCCAAATCCTGTTTATTTATCTTTCTAGTTCTCATCATTTTTTTTTCCAAGTGTTTATCACATCTCCATGGTGCATTTTTCATTATATTTATTCATTGTCCATTGTACCGTTATTATCAAACCATGTAATGTGACTGTCCAGATATACATATAGATAATTTTTTCTGCATTAGCGCAGTCGATACAAAACTCGCTTTAAAATCCAGCTGCAACTCGCTGCAGCCCACGGTCGGTGTCCAAAACCGGGCAGTTCCCGGGTTCGCCCAGCCTCTAGGAAATGGGTACCAGAGTTGACACTCTGTGGTAAATGAAGGAATGTCGCTGTAGCTACAGGGGGACAGTTTCTTATCAGCTGTCCATACTGGTGGCAGAGCACTTATGGTTTCTAACCGTGTGCAATGATGCTGGTTCACATCTCCCGACTTTACCCATTTTACTTCTGCAGATCCAGTTAAACAACCTGATAGGTGTTCTGTTTTTTTTTTCTCTCTGTATTTCAGTTTTTCCACCATGGTTGTAATTTCTGTAGAACATCTGACATCTTATAGCCAAATGACAAAGAATATGAGGCTAAATTTTTACACACACACACAAATAATGAAATAACGCTTATTTAACCAATTCTAGCTGCTGTTGCCGCTGCGGTCTTCAGATTGAACCAAATCCGACAAACATGTGTGTCAACTGTCTTCGGTCTGACGTGGACATCACTGAGGATATCCCAAAAAGCAGTGCCTTGTCATTTTGTCGTGGCTGTGAAAGGTAAATATGTTTGTTCATCTTTCTTTACAATGTTAGAAGCCAGCTGGGGATAATTTGTTTCATGACATTCATTTCTTTTCTGCAGAGCCCAACCGTATAACTGATCTATCCCCATCTTCAGCAGCCAGCACAAAGTTCCAATACTGCTGGTGCCAGTATTAGTCTGATAATGTGTCTGCCTTGCCTTTGAATGTTGGTCAGACCATGTTGATTCATTTACACATCTTAACTTTGGATCAAATGCCTGTGTTCTTAGGCAAGAATAAATAACATGAAGTCAAGCATGCATATTGCACACATGATTAAAGCTCTGAGAGAGTAGACCTTTTTGTCTCTACAAAATATCTATAATTTATGCATTCTGGAGTACATATATATCTAACACTAGCTGTGTAGATGCTGCACAGTTGATGTAATGACCTCTGTACCACCAGGTTTTACATAATGAAAGGCATCCAATTAGCACTTCAATGTATTTAAAATCAGTAAATTCTGCTGTCTTAAAATTACACACGGCTTTCCAGTAAAGCAGTTTGCTAATCTATCCAGTTAAAAAAAATGTAATTGGATTGTTCTGTTATCACTGTTATTTTATGTAATTTTCTCTTTTTTTTTTTTTTAAACTACTAAAATATATTGGAACATGGAACAGGTAAATATAAGGGGAGGGGGATGGTGTGCTATTGCAGACTGATGCACACATTTGGTCACTATAGTCTAGTGGTGTTTCTCCCTGTGAGTGTGTAGAAACGTATTTTTTACAGGGTCGTTGAGTTGGCTCCACACCCTGTCCTCCTTCCTTTCTCCATCGGGCTTAGGGCCAGCAGTGATGGAGAAGGAAGATTTATTGAGGAAATGAGGACATCCAAGAGGAACTCTAAATTAACATACCCACCAAGAGATTAAAACATTAATACAATCCAGTATCCAAGAAAGGTGGCTGGATACCCACACCAGATTTTTTCCCCAAGACACTTCATCCCCTCTCTAGAGAGGGACAGTGTATTATATTCAGACTAATGACTGGGCACAACAGATTTCGTCAACATATATTCAAGTTATTTCGGTGTAGGAAATACGGAGACGTGCCCCTGCAGCGTGGCATCCGAAAATGCTGAGCATGTGCTCCAACACTGTCAACTGTATGCTGACAACAGAGACGCAATCTGGCCTGTTCCAACCACACTGAAATGGTATACGAGAGGATATGGATTGCACGATAGCTTTCATAAAGGCTACCGGCGTCCTGATATAAGTTTTCTGACAGAAGGAAAGAAAAAGATGAGAGCGGCCAAAGCTGCTGGACTGGTTTCCATTTATGATATTGAAATAGAATAAACCTTGTATGATGTATAAATGGCACAGCAAGAGGATAATAATGATAGTCCAATTTCTCTTTTCTCATTAGATGCTTCTTTTTTTTCTCTTATATTTGTGTATACTGTCAATGTTTCATTAAGTTTTCCCAGACAGTTGTTAGATACTCCAAGATATCAGCTGATGTAACAGTTTCAGATGTTATTGTTGTCGATCACCAGGTTCTTTGCAGAATACCACTCTCTTCATTGCATGCCTGAAAGTGTCTCTAGCCCTTTGTGCTTTCATAGCCAATGTATCTTCACTGCCTTGTATCCACCTTCGAGGAGGTCAGTCTCTTTTTTCCAGAAACTACCTCTCATCATTTTTTTTTGCAGGCCATTATGTTGTTCAGCATTGCCAAAATACTTCAGCTTTCAGAAGAGGATACTGTTTATGAGCCAGTTCTGATCATGCAACATGTTGGTTTTCTTTCTCTTGGTTAATGGTTTGGTAAGAATTTTTCTGTAGAAATGCATTTCAGAAGCACTAGTTCTTTTCTTCAGTTATTAAGAGTCCATGACTTGATCCACAAATTGCCACTGGAAACAATACACAATCTTAAAACTTTCAATTTAACTCATTTGCAGGTTCTGTGCCATTGATTTTTTGATTTCATTCTGTTATTTCTGCTTTGCTAAAGCAAGCTTCTGATTTTTTTTGTGTGCAGTCGCCATAATCCCCCCCACCCACTGAGCCTAGATATCTTAAAAGTTTTTTATTTCTTTATTATCCGTTTTAATATGATGTTGGTATATTGTAAACAGTATAGTTTCAATTGAAGCATCCTGTAACTAAAAAAAAATATGTATTTCATGCTGGTGCTTGTGTTAAAGGTACCTCCAGCCCCCAAACCAGTGGGTGAAAGCAACGCTGGAGTCCAGAGAGCTCTTGTCTGTTTGCTTGAAGAAACTGCGAGGTCTTAAAGAGGTATGTGGTTTTGTCAGTCAGTGGATAACTTGCTAGCTTATCATTACTGGTGCCCTGGGTTCAGTCGTGTTTCACTTTTGGTAGTATATATAAGTCACAATAAGTGGTGACTAGACACTCAGCTGCTGAACGGAAGGAGCTGGGTTCGAATCCATGTTTTTTCTTCAGAATTGACTTTGGCTCCCAGTTGACCATGCCTGCAGTGTAAATAAAGGCAGCTGGGGTCATATAGAACGCCTCAACCACCAAGTGATGCTTTGCCAAAACACAGAAAGTGTGATGCACCCCTGGCATAAAAAAAGGGTCCTTCACTTAAAAAAAAAACTATTTTTGGGCTTAAAGTTGTTCCAGCCAGTGGCTTGCTGGCTTGCATGTTAGCTGTATGTTCAAACCCCTCAAACTGGAATTGTTTGTTGCTGTTTCTATTCTGTATAGTGTATCCTGAAAATGTCTGTGAGGTAATGGAGGCCAACACATCAGCCGTTGAGTACTTATTGGTCCAAAAACTATTGGACTAGGACCATATACCCAAATAGACTTGATCACAATGAATCAACATCACAGAACTAGGGACACTCCCATTAGCGTTCTGTCCCCCATCTTCAGCAGCAAGCAAAGAGTTCCAATTCCGATGGTACCAGTAACTGTCTGATTGTATATCTGATCAGTTGTAATAATTTTGAAGTAAAGATGTCGGTTAAATTAATATTCCATATTTCTTGTTACCACGGGATACCAGTGTCTGCTCAGTATAGGAAATGTGAAGGATTTTCACATGTAGTGGGTTGTCCGCACCCAAAACATCATGACACAGGCTTATTTACTAGATGCAGATCTTCATAATCCAAAATTAGCAGTAACCTTGACATTGTTACTTATTTATTCATTTGACCACACGATCTTAATAATCTGGCATCAGCATCAGATCTCAATATTTCTTTGGTACCAAGGAGCACACTACTTATTGATTTATAACTAGTTAGCATCCTTTGGATATTTTCTCCAGGGATGCTGGTGTGTTAGGAAATGGGTAGGCAGATAGACTGGCTGGCTCTGCACCACTTGGCTGTGAATTGATGTATGGCACGTTAGATGTTGTGAGGGCCCTTTCGGAGCGAGGGAACAGTGTTGAGCGCAGATATATCATTACACTTTAAAGAGAATGGCGCTGCAAGGAGTTACCAGGGTATCTGGCCGGCGCTCAAAACCCAGGGGAAGGATAAGCCGGTTACTAGTACCATTGGGAATGGAACTCTTCGCTTGCTACTAAAAATGGGGACTGAGCACTTATGAGAGTTTCCCCGAGGGCTGTGTTGTCATTTCTTAATTCAACATTTATAACTAATTAAAATGTCTTCTGTACCAGAAGAAATGGAAACCCACATTTACTAGCTATAAAACACCCCCTTTAAAGAAGTACTTATGCCAGCTTTTGTGACTGAACTGCTTGCATCAGCATTGGGCTGTAGTTGTGAGAGGGGGACTGTTAGTGTTGGCAGATCTGATGGCTGCCTTGTGCATTTACACGATTTAGCTGGGACTGATGTGTTTTCCGTTAGTTTTTCAAATACGACAGTGACAGGCATATTGTTTTTTAATTTCCACGGGACAGTTATGTTGAAACTCATCAGCAGTGAAGTTGAAACAGCGGCCAACTAAAACTAAACCATTCTCTAACAAAAGAAGGCTTATATTATAATCAGCTATTCGCAGTTTCATTGAAGGACTAGCAGATAAATGTATGTAGATAGGCTAAGGGTGGTTTAAGGTGTATTCCGTGCCAGACATCTGTTCGGGATATTTAATAATGAATATATTGTCTGGCTTGTTGCAGGTCAAGCTGGTTGATGCAGGTTTTGTGTGGACTGAACCACATTCCATGAGGATTAAAGTGAAGCTGACAGTGCAGAAAGAGGTTTATTTTGTTTGTTGTCTGTCTGTCCACCTGTTAGTCTAAATCCGATGCAAAGAGATGGATGTGCTAAGAATTGTAAAGATAGTCTCTTTAGTGTATATGTGTATATATATCACTATCATCATCTTTTATGTGCCGTTAGATGTCACATAGGATTTGCATTTGATTCCTCAACTCCACTCTATTGCATGCAGCTTTCTTGATTTCTGGCATGGAGTTCAGCTCAGCATAATTTGCCTCCCGTGATAATCTTCTTAGTTTTTCCCTTGGACTTCCTCTTTTTCTCAGACCATTTGTTTTCCTTTTCACTGCCTGTTTTGTAATTCCATGCCCCCTGTATCTTCACCATCTTTGTCTTATTGTAGTTGATACAGATATATGTCCAGACATTTCTCTGATTTTTTTCACTTTTTGTGAATTTATCCTATTTTAAGTGCATTATTTTTTTTGAAATACATTTTACCTTCATTCCATATCTTTAGGGGTTCTCTAACTTTCGCTAGCATATTTTAGCATTGAAACAACATTATAGTTAAAGATTCGTAGTTTGGTCTTGAATAAGGTGTATAACTTGTAGCTCCAAATTTTGTTAAGGTTTTCAAAGACTTATTGCTTTGCCAGTGCAAATAATTTCCTTTGTTTTTCCTTTGTTGTATCTCCTTGTGAGTCAAAATTGCTACATGAATTGGGTTACTTTTATTGGTTTGTTCTCTAGCATGACATCTAAATGATTTGTTGTTGATATGTTTAATATAATTGTTTTCTCAAAACTTATGTGTAGTCCTATTTTTGAACCACCAGCCATACAATTTTTTTTGCTGCTACTTCGTAACCTCAATGAACATTTGTGTTCTGGTGGTCTTAGGCCACCCCTGTCAAAAGTCCTTTGACCCCCCCCAAAACAAGGTCGCGATCCACATGCTAAGAACTGCTGACTTAGTCGAAGCTTGTACAGATGCTTGTTAAGATTGTTATGTCCTGTTCTGTGGTGTCGAATAATGACCTGCCCATGCCGGTCAAGTAAGTGTGCATTGATAATAATCATTTGATTACTAATTAATCAACTGACTTTACGCATTGAAAATAATAATTTGATTAACTAATCAACTGACTAATTGATAACATATTACTACATGCACGTTTGACCCAAAAAGGGGCCATGACCAACAGATTGAAAACTGCTGGTCTACGTGATGTTGACCCTATCATCCCAGAATGCCAACTGGCCTGTAAAAAAAAAAAAAATAAGTCTAGCATCAGATACCTAGTGTGCCACTAGCATTAGAGATAATACTTACTCCAACTTCTGCTTTTCACTATCCATTGTTGCCAATGTCCCCCAACAGGCTTGGATATACTTGTTCTGTTTATGATTGTTTGGCTTTTTCTGCTATGTTGTTGTTTTTTTAAACATCCCTTAGGTAATGAATGGAGCCATGCTGCAGCAAACATTTGTGGTGGAATACACTGTCCAGTCTCACATGTGTGATGATTGCCATCGGGTGGAGGCTAAAGATTTCTGGCGGGCGGTTGTGCAGATTAGACAGAAGGTATGTTGCGATTCAGATAGATATGTGCAATCACAAAACATATTTATAAACCAGTTTTAATGTACAGAGTAAAGTGCATTCAATAATAACTGGCATCATCGGGTTAGTAGACCGGGGCATATAGAGAGAATAGCAGATGATAGAGAGGACAAAAAAACAAAACTGTACACAAGGCAGTTGAATAAGAAGACAGTGGAGAGATAATATCCAAACACAACTTGGTCACCAACTGGAAAGAGGGTGCCAATCACAAAGATGAATGGAACTAATGCTGAAAAAAAATATGCTGAGTCATGTGCATACTTGAATAGTATGGGTTTTGGGAGTTATGTCAGTAGTGTAACAGTAGAAATGTTGCGAATTTATGTAAAGAACGGAAGAGCGTTAATTAATGCTGTAGAAGATGAATATAGCAGTGTTATGTTGTAATTTAGACCAAGTATAGGGCAATGTTTATGTTTTAATTGAGACCAAGTATAGGGCAGTGTTCATGTTTTAATTGGGACCAAGTATAGGGCAGTGTTCATGTTTTAATTGAGACCAAGTATAGGGCAGTGTTCATGTTGTAATTTAGACCAAGTATAGGGCAGTGTTTATGTTTTAATTTAGACCAAGTATAGGGCAGTGTTCATGTTTTAATTTAGACCAAGTATAGGGCAGTGTTCATGTTTTAATTTAGACCAAGTATAGGGCAGTGTTCATGTTTTAATTTAGACCAAGTATAGGGCAGTGTTTATGTTTTAATTTAGACCAAGTACAGGGCAGTGTTCATGTTTTAATTTAGACCAAGTATAGGGCAGTGTTTATGTTTTAATTTAGACCAAGTATAGGGCAGTGTTCATGTTTTAATTTAGACCAAGTATAGGGCAGTGTTCATGTTTTAATTTAGACCAAGTATAGGGCAGTGTTTATGTTTTAATTGAGACCAGGTAGAAACAGTAGTTATTTATAACAGAGACAAAGAATAAAACATGTTAATATAAGAAGTAGACAACAGATAACACAGAATCAATATTGCACTTAGACTGATCTGAAAACACTAGTAGTTGCATGAAAGTGGCATGTGATTTGCCTTTATTGTTTATTTGCAGTGTGAGCACAAGAAGACCTTCTTCTACCTGGAGCAGCTCATCCTGAAACATAAGGCTCATCGTAACACGGTCAACATCAAACCGATGGCAGGTAGGGGGCCCTTTTTGACTGTCATGTCTAGCTTTGGGGCGTTACAACCAAGACTCTGTTAGTTGCTAAAGGTGTCCGTAAGGTATTACTAGGAGTGTTGCTGTAAATCCTCAGAGATGTCATTGTTGGTTCTAGAGAGATGTCCAGTGGTGTTTCGTGAGATGATTTAATGGTTCCTGTTTAATTTCTTTAAAGGTACCCTATAGTACACAGCTTTTTTGTGAGATGTTATGACTGGCACCTTTCCGTCTTTCCAGACCATAGTGTTATATTGCGCTTTGAAGAGGTATGGAACTCACACCCTATGGCGGCTCTGAGTGTGACTAGCAAGTCCCGACAGCGTTTAAAAGTCTTCCACAAGGATATGAGATGAGATATTTAGAGGTCAGCTTAATAACTCTAGGCTTCACAGTATGTTCTTAAGTTCTGGCCAGATATTGCTAGGGATTCTATGAATTCTTTGACATAATACTGGGCTGTATGTGTCTATTGAATGCCACAAGGTTTCAGTGAAGTGTCATTAAGAGTTCCATGAGATATTGCTACATTTTCTACAGGGTAGTGCTACAGATTTCAAGAGATATTGTTACTTGTTCCATGAGATATTATCACCATGCGGTGTTTTGTGACAGGATCTAGCCTTCAACCAGACAGCTATAAAACTAACTGCTGCCCTCATCATCCATCAGCAAGTCCTTTTGTAGAACGTCGCTGTCTTCATGACACACCTGAAAGTATCCCTTTCCCTAGCCAGCTGTCCAGCCCCATAAGCTTTCAGTGCCAGTGCGTCTTCGGTGACCTGTATCTGTCTTTGAGGTCGACCCCTGCCTCGCTTTCCACAAACTGCGCCCTCCATTACCATCTTTTTGAAGCCACCATGACGTTTGATGGGGCCAAAATACTTGAACTTTCGGGACGTGACGCTGTTTATGAGCCAGTTTATGGTATTCTGAGAATTTTTCTGTAACATTGTAATTCATAAGCTTCAAACCTTTTCTTCGGTGATTAAGTGAGAGTCCTGAAGTCGCTAATGTAAGTTGCCACAGGAAAAATGCGTGGTCTCGAGATTTTAACTTTAACTAATTTACAGATGCTTTGCCATAGGTTCTTCATTCTGTTTAATCTCTGCATTGCTAATGCAAGTTTTCTTCTGACTTATTTCGGGACATCTTAACTGGCTTTCATAAAGAGCCCAAGTAAATTAAATCTGTGACATTTTCTATTTCTTCATATCAATTGTGATATGTGGTTGGTGTGCTTTATTTACTGAGAACATATTTTTTTTCAAATTTAAAAAAAAAGATTCACTTTTTCGCTGTGCTTTTTGAAGACCGGAATTAATTTTTCCAAACCCTGTACACTAATAGAAAGGAGAATTGTCTCCATATCTGAGTTCTGGGATAGGATTACCTCAAATTTTTAGCTGATCAAAGCTCTCACGTAAAATTCTCAGCACATATGTTAAAAAGGGATGGAGAAAAATGCAACCCTGTCTCACTGCTGCCCTGCCATAGCACAAGTACCTCTTTCCATCAATCAGGTGCCATCTCCACTTTGAAGCATGTGGATATCCAATAGGCTCTGTATTTTGCCCTGGATAAACACTCAGACTGCTGCTTGTCTCTCTCTCTCTTGATGTTATCCTTCCATTTGTATCAATGTCGATCTTTTGCTCACTTGCCTTAAACTTTTTCCTCAACTGGTTATTTAAATAAATAAAAACTGTTAAATGATGAAAATTGAGATAAAACACCTGAAATTATCAACTGCCTCATATCTTAACTGTAAGATGGCCCTTTTCAGACGGACTTGATTTCTTCTTCACAAAACAAGATGATGCTAAAAAACTTGTGGAGTTTTTGTCTGCATTTGTGCCTTCTAGGTATGTACATGTCTGCTGCTGGTGATTCTGTTAGCTGTTGATGTCTCTGTTGTATTGTTTAGGTTGTTAGCCTATATGTTATTGTAAATGTTTTTGTTATCTATAGTTCAGAAATTGGTTCAAACTCATAAAAAAAAGTTTTCTTTTTTTTTTGGTCTTTTATCCCTCATTACAATTAACTGCTTGTGAAAAGGCTGTGAACAAAACCAGAAATAAAGATATTACAAGAGTTAATGGAGCATTATTATGGTATCTATGGTCGAAGCAGCCAGAAGAGCACAAAGCAAGAACACCTGAAGCGGTAAAAGAGAATGTAAAGAAGAAGAAGAAGAGAACACAGGTTTACAACTTGTAACATTTCTTGAAGCAAAGTTTTCTTGTTACAAATTTGAACCAATAAAAACATGATAGTAGATTACACAAGAAAAGAGCCCTTTGCTTACTTGGAGAGGCAACATTAAATGACTTCCACACCGATTTGTACAAACATAGAGAAAAGGCAGTTACTTTTGAATGTGGTTGATTCTTTATTTCAGATGTAAAGGAGTTATTTATTTGCTTCATTTTATTCAGCTGTTTTGATATTGATACAAACAGTATGTCAGGTAGTAAAAGTCTACTATTTGTCACTGTTCTTTTGCCTTTACTGCCAGACAGAAAACACTGTTGACTGTAATTTCAGATATGTAACAGGCAAGGAGCTCATCTCTCACGATGTTCACACCAACAAGTATAACTACAAGTACACTATCTCAGTGGAGATTGTGCCCATCTGTAAAGTAAGTCTTATTGTAAACTCGTTCTGTTTTCGAGCTTTCTTTATAGGGTGATCGTGCACATCTGTAAAGTATGTCTTATCATAGCTCTTTGAATTATGAGTTGGGTTATCTTTACAGCGCTCCGGACACAGCCATAAGTGCTCAAATCTCTCTCTCAACATTCACATTAGTGTCCCCTGGTTAATATTTGTTGTTTGTTTTGTTTGTTTATTCAACGGTTCAGCATCATGGCACAAGGATGGTAACCGATAAATGCTCCATTCTACTTCTAACTCAAGCTAGACTTGAATCCAAAGAATCTCAGCGCAGAGCTATGAACTCTATAGCACCGGTGAGGATCCTGAAATACTTTGAGTAGATTTCTAACTCCAGATTTTGTCCGGGCAGCACCGTTAAGCTACTCTTTTCGATTTCCAACTGCCAGGAGACTTGTTTTTGCAAGTAGGGAAGGTCGTGTCTCAGAACAGAGGTACCAGAGTTGACACTCTGGGGTGAATGGATGGACGTCACTGTAGCTATGGAGTTACGAACCCACTGAAACACAGGCGGACAGTTTCTTATCAGCTGTCCGTATTGGTTACAGAGCACTTATGGTTTATAACCGTGTGCGGTGGTGCTGGTTCACATCTCCCGACTTTACCTTTTTTGCAAATAGCATTAACGGTTCATTATCAGAGTAACATAGCAAGAAGCAGACACTGCAGATGATGAATTTATGTATTATTATTGTTTATATTAAACAGATTCTTCTTTTTTCTTTGCATTCACTAGCAGAAAGTCCACGCTTTAGAAACTTGAGTTTTACATGCACATCTGTTTTGCAGAACTGGCTTACTTTTGTATGCAGACATTTGTTTTGTTTTTTGCCTCTCTAGCAGATGCACTCTGACTTCGAAGGGAAAACCCCTAATTATTGGCCTTTTCCAACATGTTTGTTAGGATAACTGTGGTTTTATCCTTTTTTTTCTTCTTGAAAAGGGGGCACAGGATTCCAACATAGGGAAACTCCAGCCTCATTAAATAGATACAAGACAGGTAATTGAATCACAGGAATTGAGCTTTGGGGTTTTATGACGCTTGTGGTTGTGGTAGTAGTTTTATAAGTAGTGGACATGGGCATCAGCTGGGTCAGCATAGCTGTATTCACATTGTTGATTGCTGAATTAAAAATCAACATTATAGCACTCGGGACACTCCCATAAGTGCTCTGTCCCCATCTTCAGCAGCAAGTGAAGAGCCCAATTTCTAGTGATACCAGTAACTGTCTGATTGTACACCAGTCTCGCCTTTTCCTTGAGTGTTAAGCATCATCCAGATCCCCTATTAACTCCCTGCAGCACCATTTTCCTATGACTGTTATGATCTCTTTGTGCCTCCACACTGAGCTGTATTCAGTCAGTGCACTTTGGGAGCACTCAGTATTCCTACTCTCCCAACATCTGCTGATCAATATAGCTCATAGAAAGTTCTTGGCACTGATTCTTGTGAATCATTTTGCTGATTGAGTGTTGCTTTGTTTTCTTGCAGGATCATATAATCTGCCTACCTCCAAAGACAGCCCAGGCGATTGGAAGCATCAGTCCTTTGTGCATCGTTACCAGAGTCACACAAGGCATTCACGTTATTGATCCACATACACTGCAAGGTTGGTGGTCAGAATATTCTTGTCATAGATCGTTGTACAGACCTTGGAACATAGTACTTTCTTGTTTAAGTAGCAAGACATTTCATTCCTTTTGATCAGCCTCTTTTTATTGCTTGCACGTTACGAGTACTTCGGACAGCTTTGCTCCTCCTCTTCTTCTGTGTTCTTCTTCTTAGCTTTCATCAGTTGTAAACTCTGGTGGAAAGTTAGGGTTGTTTGTCCACTTCTGGACTTTGATCTTGTCCCAAAATTCGTGAGCTTTGCATGCGCACCCGTTTTACAGGTCTGGCCTATTTGAGTGTAGATTGTTCCTTGCCTTTCCCACAGATGCACTCCTTTTTTGAAAAAGAAAAAAAAACACATGCCGGATTGGTAAGTTCTTTTACAACAGGCTTGTTAAGGCGGCAGCGGGTCCACCCCCCCCCCCCCCCCACGCCCCCCCCCCCCACACACACACACACACAACAAATAGAAAAAAAGGAGCTTGGAGACCCACATGGTGACTGTTTGGATTCAGTTTTTAAAGGGCAGTTTTGTTGTTTACAGACTGCGACATCTGCATCTTTCAGCCCAACACTCCCTATTTCAACCAACCCTTAATTAGTTGCCTGTTTCAACATGCTCGTTGGTTGAGGGGCGGGGGGATGTATGGAGTTCAAGGGGAAATCATTTAAAGTAAAACATTGTTTTACCCATTGACCACCATGCACGTTAAGCATTGCATTTTCTGGTTACCAGGTATTTTAGCGTGAATTTAAAATGTCATTGCTTCTCAACTATTTATCATAAACTTATAATATTTTGTATTGTTGCACAAAATTGAGTGGAGACCAGACTTCAAGAACAAGAGTTGTATAATCCTATTTGACATCATCATCATATTAGATTAGTAGAAAAATGCAACCTGACAAAATGTTTTTTTTTTTTATATAGGCTTAAACAAAATGTGACATAACTTCATAATTATTTAACATAAACCCATAATATGTTGGAGAGTTGCACCAAATGGAATAAAGAACACATTTAAAGAATACAAAAAATTTGTGTAATATTTTTGTACATCGGCATCATCATGTGGCTCTACGATAGTGGAAAAACTACAAAAAATAATTTCTGACACCAATAAAAAAAATATTTTTCTGTTTTTTTTTTTCCTTCTTCCAGAAATCATCTTGGATAAAAGCTCTGCACCTAAAAAGAAATCTGCAAATTCATTGACTGTTTTCCATTTTGCACCAAAAACATCTGATAAATATGACTGAACTGTCAAACTCAAAACGATCTTTTCCCAAAACATGCATAGAAGAAAATGCATCCCGGTTACCGTCGGGGATTGCATTGTGAAATGATTTTCATTAAACTCTAAGCCACAGAGTGGTAATGCACACATTCTTCACTAACAGACCCATCTAACAATGCACACCTGAAGCACAGACATGAAACAGATCTAATGTAACATAGCGCACCTACTTCTGACTGCTGTAAGCAAAACATCACCTTCCAGTTCTGACATTGTTTTTGATGGCAGTTTTTGTTAGAATTATCAAAGTCATCCATAAAACTGTTCAGAAATATCTTTAGCTTCACTTTCTGATTCAAGGCAGTATCCCATAGCATCAAGAATATTCCCCAGTCTTTTTCACCAGACCGGCTTTAACGATCAACTGCCATTATTAAAGCTTTTCCCTTTAAAAGCCATAGGAAAATGAATGGACTAATGTTTCCAGCTACTTTTATTGCAATAAATACAATTTTAACATGGCGGTGAGCGGCCAAAGTTATAATCGCAGGGATGCGATTGTGGTAGCCAGGCATTAACTTCGGCGGATCGGGCAGCGTAGGATTGTGGTAGTCAGTACATTAACCCTATAGCCTCGTCAACATCTTTAAAAAAAAAATAGCTATTTCAAAAATTGTGTAACAAAGAAATGTATTATAATTCTGAGAAACTAGAGAAGCAGAAGGAATTTTAAGCCCTGGACATTTTTATAAACTTGCAGGGGGTGGAACCCCTAGGCTTCCCAGGAAACAGGCGGGAAGTCCGGAGCTACATACATTGTGGCCGTCAGTTCACTAAAATAATTAAAATTTATTATTATTTTCTTTCATAAACAGATGTTTGAATGTTTAATTAAGAATCGACATCCAGCACTCGGGACACTCCTATAAGCGTTCAATTCCCATCTTCAGCAGCAAGCAAAGAGTTCCAATTTTCTGATGGTACCAGTAACCATCTGTTTGTATATCCGTCTCATCCTTTCCCTGAGTGTTGAGCGTTGGCCAAATCCCCTGGTAACAAATGTTTAAGAAAGGGAATTAATCACTAAATACAGAGGAGCAAAGAATTAACTTCTTATTTGCCTTCACAGGCTGAAAACTCAGATGGAAATTTTTGGTTGTTCGTCTACTTAAGGACTGTTGTCTTGTTCCGATCTTATGTATTGCATGCACGTTTGTTAGAATTTTTTTAACGCAGACTTTTGGTTCCTTCCCTCTCAGGCAGGTGTTCTCCGACTTCAAAGGAAACAGCCCTAGTCAGTCGCCTTTTACGACATTCTTATTAAAGGGAAGTGGCTGTTCCCCCCCCCCCCCCTCCCCCTACCTCCTCCACTTTAAATGGGACCCTGTAACCCAAACAGGGACAGTAATTAACTGCTTTCTGTCCCTTCTCTTTGACCATTGGTTTTCACTTAGCTAAGTGAAGAAAAGTTAATCATAGTGGAACTGCTATGGTGTAATGATGATGTCTCAAGAACTACAGGATAGCCTTGAGTTAAAAGGCCTTCCCAAGCATACAGAAACAAATGAACACTACATTTATATGAAGAAAAACAATTATTGAGGTGTGTTTTTCTTGATGTCTAGGAGTCTTCATAATTGTACTGAATACATCTGAAATAAAACTATTTTGAACACGTTTTTTTAGAATCATTTCACTATTTGCAGTGGTTCCAGATTTTTGTGACAAGAAGCCTTGTTATTCATTGACTCGCTTGCTAATTACCTAATCACTTAGTTTCCTTAATACTGTTCATTTGTTACAGTGGCTGAGCTGAGTGCTAACCAGTACTGGAGGAGCCCCTTCCCAACCCTAGTGTCCCCAAAGCAGCTGATAGAGTTCATGGTGATGGAAGTGGAGGTTGTACCAGAGAGGGACAGACCTCATCGACACCGCACGTCAAACAAGGTGGTTAAATATCTGCTAGCATTTTGGTATCATCATTGCCAAACATCAGATGTGTTTTGGTTAAATTGTTATCCTCTGTTCATTTTGTTTGCCTGTGCAGAATATAGTAGCGCGGTCAGCCTTTTTAGGTTTGAGGGCGTCTTTTAATTTAAGAAATATCAGTCTGTCTACTTTATAGACTATACTCATCACTAGCTTACTACAAAATTAGAGCCTTTGAACTGAAATTCTATAGAAAATTCTTAGAATACCATGTTAAACACCATTATGAACTGCACTAAAAAAACAACCTATATAATAAATATATTTTATAAATTTGTATATGTGTGTGAGTGTGTATATATATATATATATATATATATATATATATATATATATATATATATATATATATGTGTGTGTGTGTGTGTATATATATATATATATTTATGTATATGTTTTTATATGTATATATAAATGAAAAACTATATAACCAAGGGAGTGTCTGTTGTAGATCACGAGGCGGACCAAGAAGACGATGGAGAGATAACATCCAGACAGACCTACAAACACTTGGTGTCACTAAGTGGAAAGAGAAGGCCTACCAAAGAGATGAGTAGGGGCGGGTGATATCTGCAGCAATGAACTTCAAGAGCTTGATATGCTGAAGAAGAAGAAGAAGAAACATCACTGAGAACAGTTATGGAGTGTGCAGTTTCTGGAAAATGGGGCATAGGTCAACCTTGAAGGTGGAGACTGGACATTAAAGATACCCTGGCTGTGAAAGAACATAGGGCTGGAGAAGTGGTTGAAGGAAAAAGATTTTCATTTGTACCAAGAAGCGATGTTCTATAAAGTACCTTATCATTGGAGCCTGACTTTTAAAAAATGACCTTGACTCCCAGGTCGACCCAGCCTTGAGTGTGTACTGGGTGCTGTCCAGGGAAGTAAAAGAGGCTGGCATAACGCTGACCATCTTGTGCCGATTGGTCTATAAATATATAGGTCTAGCCCTATATGCCTAAAAGGCATGGAAAAGGGACTTGTTTTTTTTATTATTACTTTTACTGAACTTATATTTGCTGGCATACTATGCATCTGGACATTGGCTCGTTCTGATCTTTTCTGTCACGCATCATGTTGAGACATTGGCTTGTCCCAATCTCTTCTACCATACCACACATCTAGACATTGGCTTGCCCTGATATTTTCTGTCATACCACACATCTAGACATTGGCTTGTCCTGGTATTTTCTGTCATACCCCACATCTAGACATTGGCTTGCCCTGGTATTTTCTGTCATACCACACATCTAGACATTGGCTTGTCCTGGTATTTTCTGTCATACCACACATCTAGACATTGGTTTGTCCTGGTATTTTCTGTCCTACCACACATCTAGACATTGGCTTGTCCTGATCTTTACTATCATACCACACATCTAGACATTGACTTGTCCTGGTATTTTCTGTCATACCACACATCTAGACATCGGCTTGTCCTGATCTTTACTATCATACCACTCATCTAGACATTGACTTTTCCTGGTATTTTCTGTCATACTACACATCTAGACATTGGCTTGTCCTGGTATTTTCTGTCATACCACACATCTAGACATTGGCTTGTCCTGATCTTTATCATCATACCACTCATCTAGACATTGGATTGTCCTGGTATTTTCTGTCATACCACACATCTAGACATTGGCTTGTCCTCGTATTTTCTGTCATACCACACATCTAGACATTGGCTTGTCCTCATATTTTCTGTCATACCACACATCTAGACATTGGCTTGTCCTCGTATTTTCTGTCATACCACACATCTAGACATTGGCTTGTCCTCGTATTTTCTGTCATACCACACATCTAGACATTGGCTTGTCCTAATCTTTACTATCATACCACTCATCTAGACATTGGCTTGACCCAATATTTGCTGTCATACCTCACATCTAAATATGATCTGTCCTGGTTTTGATGTCTAAACATTGACTTGTTTGCCATGTCCACAGCATGTCCTGGCTGATGTCTATGTGGCCAGATTAAGCGACCTTGGAGTTAATGACCGCCAATTTCACTGTCGCACTCACTTGGGTCATATTCTCAAAGTCAGTGATATTGTTCTCGGGTGAGGCTTTTTGTATCTTAGTTAAGACTAACTATTATTGTCTGGTAAATTCTATTATTTTATATTCTTCTTCTTTGCTATAACTGGCTGTAAATTCTGGAATAATTTCTGGTTATTCCTCCACTTCTAGACTTATTCTTGTTCCAGGACCTGCGTGTTGCATGCATATCTGTTTTACAGATCTGACTTATTTGTATGCAGATTTTTGGGTTTTACCTTTCAAGCAAATGCACTCTGAATTCATAGAAACCCACTATTAGTCATCTATTGTAACATGCTTTTTGAGGAGGCAGTAGATCTATTCTTGTTTTGCCCCCAGAATCCACACAGTGATGAATATTCTTAATCACTTAATTGAATCCATACCAAGCAAGATTTTCCCTTTCAGTCTTGACCTAGGCTGCCAGATTGATTCCGCCTACACTGGGTATAAGGTAGTGTTCTGGGAAGTAAAGGTGGCCAGCATGATGTTGACCGCATTGTCCATGCAGTGCCAGTTGATCTGTAAATGTATGAGTCTGGCTTCATATGCCCTATGCACTGGTGGCCTAAAAAAGAGCTGCCCTTTTATAGCATAGTTCCCCAAGTTGCCTTGATTTTGGTTCTGGAAATTCAAGGTAAAAATTATATTGAACTCACATTGAATTTCATAGAATCCAGGAAACTCTTCATCTCTGTCAAAACTCTCATCCATATCACGGGGAAGGGTGGGGAACTGCGTGGTGTTCGCTTCGAGTTCTATCTGTTCCAGGTTCAATCCCTGGTAAAGGCTGGACTTTTTTAACGTAAATTTGGACTTCTAGTAATTTCTCCTGGTTTCTGGGTAGTGAAATCGGACACCTGTGTGCATTGTTGCGCATGTAAATAAAAATCCCTTGGCAGTTGGAAATCGAAAAGGGTAGCCTAACGGCGCTGCATGGCAAAAAATTGGAGTTAAAAATCTACCCAAAGTATTTCAAGATCCTCGCCGGTGCTACAGAGCCTGTTCTTCTTTGGACTCAGACTTTAGGAGAAGAACGGAGCACTTATGGGTTACTACCCATTTGCCATGATGTTGATCCTTTGTTCAAAACCTGAAACCTCATCCATATCATATTTCTTTAGCTTATCCTCATCTGTGTCTTATGAGGAATCACTGTTTTCATATATTACTTCATCCTCAGTTTTATTTGTGGCATCTGAATTGCTATACTTCTTTAATGATTTATGTAACAGGTGCGAAAAAAAGCGCAAAAACTATTGCAATGGAAATAAGTCTTTACATTTATATTTTTTCCCCCGCTTCATGTCGTCCCTGAGTCGGCATGCCCAAATGGGTATCTGTACATGATATTTTCTGACAAATCATTTGTAAAAACTGACTGCCTTTATATAAGACACACACTGTTTTTAGACCCTTTATCAATGTTTCCTAAACTTGTCTTAGTTGCGGCGCCTTTTTTCAATTAAAAATTTTCTTAGATGTCCTCACCTAAGTGAAAGTATGATTATCTGTATGTAAGAGATAACAAAAATAAAACTTCTGTATCTTTGAACATTTAGCGGCACCCCTGTGAAGAGATCATGGCTCCCCTGTGCGCCGTGGCACACAGTTTGGGAATCACTGCCTGTATATTTGGAAAATCTGTGAGTGTGAGTGCTCAGTATGCATTCCCCCCGACTGATAAGTTACATAGAGGCGGGCGTTCTGTTGACCCGGGTGACCCTATTTAAAAATGAGTACGTGCTGATGCTCGGGGAAGTGAAAATGGATGGCAAGGTTAGAACTCATCTGGTGCTGAAACCGTTGCATGAGCTGTATAAATAAACTCAAATGCTGAAATCGCTGCTTCAGTTGTAAATATCACGGGTTGCTGAAAAACGGCATTGGCTGTAAATATAACCAAGGTCTGAAACCACTGCTTTGGTTGCGGTGCAGGCCACTTCAAGTTGTCTTAGATGTGGTGAATTTCTGTTGTGAAGAACAATTTGTATTTTCCCGACAGGTTGTCTTGCTTGAAAACTTATCTGTGTAAAAGGAATTTCTGATAAGAACAGTTTTTTAGGTCTCTGGTAAGTTCCTTCTTATCAAGTCTGCACTGTCTTAAGGTTGTTGTCCACTAGTGCAAGGCAGATTGAATAAGTCTAGTGTTTGTTTTATTTATCAGGTTTGACTTTGCTAATGCAAACCTGAACCATGAACATTTTGAGAAGCTGAAGTCGGAAAGGATTCCAGATGTGGTGAGTGTCTGTTGCATTTCATTCATGTCATGTTGATTGTTTCATTCATAACTCCTAGTTCACTGTTTAATTATTCATCTCCCATAGTTCATTGTTTCATTTACATATTGTACTATTACTTTTTGGATCACATGTACCAACATTGACTTGAGTTCTGACTTCAGTAGCCAAAAAGGTTATAAGTGAAGATAACTGAATAATAAAAATTTGTTTGAGCAGCTGCCCAGTGTTGTGTGATAAACTACTGAAGTCTGAAATGGTATTATATATTCGCAGATGCTCGTGAAGAAAGTATTTGACCGGACAAAGAGAATGAGAAACAGGAAGTGGAAACTGAAGCGATTTGATGGAGCTGACCTGGAGACTGAGAGTGTTACAAAGTAAGCTTCTTCTTTTTTTCATTTGCTCTTACCTCAGTAATCCACAGTAAGCAAACAGGCAAACAGATTGGTTGGTTTTGCAACAAGAAAACAGTGGAGAGGCATGAATAGATCATTGTGTTTTGGAAAGAATGGTGCAGCTAGGAGTGGCCAGGGGTATCTGGTCAAAATGCTCACTCAGGTTAAGGGCAAGACAGACATTTAATCAGACTGCTATTAGCACCATCACAAGTGAAACTCTTCACTGGCTGCTGCAGAAGAGGACGGAACACTTTTGGGAATGTCCCAGTTGCCATGATGTCAGTTTTTAACTTACCTCTAACCACTCATTATCTCTCACAATCACTCACAATCCACCAACTCTCCATGGTCTTTGCAGACACACCTGTCATAAGCAAGTTTTTTTTCTAGGAGAGAAAGAAAGGGGTGGTGCTCGCCACAAAATATCTATTAGAGTAGCACTATTCCCCTGTGGGTTTCAGGGCACCATTGTTGTGGGGGGGGGGGGGGGGGGGGGATAGACCCACTTTCTAACAAGCATGCCATAAGAGTTAGTTGATTATGGGTTACCTTTGAAGTGCTTGAGAGGCAAGGAATCAGCAGTCTGCACCAGATCTGTAAAATGGATGTGCACGCAAAAGCTCAAGCTCTGGAACAAGATTAAAATCCAAAAGTGGGCGGACAAGCGAGCAGAATTTTTTGCTGGAGTTTACAGCTGGAAAACAAAACCCCCCAAAAAAATAGTAGCACTTAGTGATGATTTAAAAAAAAAAAAAGTCAGGTGCTAAATACCACTGTGATTCACCAGTAAACAAAAAATAAGCCTGGTAATAATAAGGATAGAGTGAGTGTCAGTAGTAATGCCCAGAGACTTCAGGGGTTGAAGAAACTGAGTTTAAAGTCTTCTGGGGGAGAAAAGATCATGGTTAACATGCAAGTTTTCTTGCTACACATTCCTTCAGAGCTATACAGCCAAGTTTATTCAGGGGCCACAATTTTGACATTGGGATCATCACCGACTAGAAGCCAGAGCTCCAGCGTAGAAAGGGCATGAATACAACTAGCTGTGATCTGTGGGCCACTTGCTAGACCTCTGCAGGCTGTGTTTGGCCAGCGGGCCACTAGTGTAATAGTCCTGCATTACATTAATGATTGTTTCAGCTCAACAATTCATGTTTTTTACATTTCTGCAGAGATTATAATGATTTCCTGGATGACTTGGAAGAAGACCAGGCTATCAGAGAAAATGTCAACATCTACAAAGGTGAGATATAGAATCATCCTGTCTATAGATTGGGGGGGGGGGGGGGGGGTTGAGCCCAGGAGATAATCCAATGGATTGTGGTAGTGTAGTGGATATTGTGCTAGTTTGTAGTAGCCTGTTCAGTAACACACTGGACTGGAAGTCTTGGGATAAAATAGTAGCTGTGGCAACTAACAAGTTGTGTTAGTCTAGGAGATAGACTGGATTGTGGTAGTTTAGCTGATATTGTGCTAGTTTGTAGTAGCCCATTCAGTAACACACTGGACTGGAAGTCTGGGGATAAAAAAGTAGCTGTGGTATGTGCTTCAATATAAATCAAACTTTATGACTGCCCTTAGACTTATTCTTCTTTTGTCAAGCCCATGTTCTGCATTTCAGTGTTGGGTTTTGAAGAGGCATCTGGTGTGAGCCTTGTTGTGTGCTACATAGATGCTGGTATTTACAGTCTTAGATATTCGATGTATCCATCACTTGCATGGGCGACCTTATGCTCAGCTTCTTGTTGTTTACCGGATGGATGAGTCTTGACTTCTCTGATCTTGTCTTTAAGCTGGTTTTTATCCACTGCTGGGTCTGTCACAGTTTCAGGGAGTATTTAACCAGATGAATCCCATCCCATTTAGGCTGAGGCCTTATGGTCTCATTGTTCCATTGCTCACTGCTAGGATGTCCTATGCATTAAGCAGACTTCTTACTAATTTGCTTCCCACCCTTTAGAATAATTTCTGGGGAGTTATTGACATGGTTCTTTCCAGGCTCCCACGATCACATAATAAATGTATGTACTATAAATATTCTGTATGTAACTTTTCTTATTGGAGTTTTGCACGGCAGCAACAAATAAGGCCTGCAGATTTTACGTTTGTTAGCTCAGCACATAGTAATGGATTTTGAGATGCATGTACATCTGAGGTCATTCGAGCTCTCACTGACTGTGTCAGTTCAACTGTAAATGTATTCTTCATGAAATTATGAATCCGCAGAGACTGAATAAACAAAAGTATCGACCATCTGTTGGACTGTGAAAGCCTAGACTTACTTTGCTTTCCTGTTGAAGTGCTTGGTTCATTAGCTGCTCGTTTCATTGTGAATTTTCAGAATGTTTTCACGTAAATCAACACAGATTTAATCCAAGCACATGCGGGCAGACATCTGGAATAACTACGCGTTCCCATTACGATTGGCTAGTAGTTTCTAGTTTGTGGCGCATTGTTTTCTCATAGTACGCAAATTCCCAACATTGAGGGACAGCGGTTTAGTAGCAGGTTAGGGAATCGTCATAATAGCGGGCTAGAGGTCTGGTAGAGATTAAAACAAAAAGTGTAATCAAGTAGTTCACTGGGAGCCTGCATGGTTCTAGCGCACCTGGGGATTGGAAGGGTTTGGGTCCTGACAGAGCCTGACTTTTTTCCTTTTCAAATGACCTTGGCTTCCAGTTTGACCCAGCCTTCAGTGGGTAGCAGGTCAACCTGGGAAGTAAAGGTAGCTGGCGTGATGCTGACCACACCACCTACCAAGTACCAGTTGGTCTATACAATCTAGATCTAGCACTGTATGCCCTGTACACCTGAAGCCTGTCTGGCTGACAACTGTTATCAGGGTGTGTATTGTAAACATCCTGAGTGTAGTTCAGCAGGTGTATTGTCGAAGTCTGGTATTTTGAGGCACCTTCCAGCAAAGCACCAGGCCCCGACGATATACCCGCTGAACTACCCAAAGTTGCAGAAAAGTTAGGCATAAAATGGATCCACAGAATGTTTAAAAAAAAATTTATTTTCAAGTCACCAATAATTTATTTATCTTATGAAAACAGTGAAATGTGAACAAGTTACATAGTTCAGTTGATGTTGATAGTGTAAACTGAACTATGTAATATGTTCATATTCCCTTTATGATTAAAGAAATGCCTGATGTCACAACTTCATCCTTTGCATTACAGATGCAACAAAGATCACAGTAGAAGTCGATGACACCGATGATGAAGGGGCTCCACAGATCAGCCTCCAGGAGATGCTGGAAGACCTGCACATCTGTGAGGATGCCACCGGTGGCGAAGGAGCTCCCATGATGGAATGAAGACCAGAATAGATATGGCTGATCAGTTGTTGTCACCTTTCTTGTTAACGATCATTGTTATTTTAAATTTAATGGACAGATGGTTACATTTGTGTAGACTGGATTTATTATATTGTAGATCACAGGCTGTTAACTTCTTTGTGGACTCAATCAGGTGCTGTCCTTTCTGTGGAGGTTGGCAGGTGGAGGATTCCAATTATATAGACTGCAAATAATTATTCTATATATAGATCGCAGGTTGTTACTTCTTTGTGGACTCAATCAGGTGCTGTTCCTTCTATGGAGGTTGGCAGGTGGAGGATTCCAATTGTATAGACTGCAGATAATTATTCTATATAAAGATCGCAGGCTGTTACTTCTTTGTGGACATTCAGGTGCTGTTACCTCTGTATCGCCTGCCTCACGTGCCATCTCTTCAATGGAAGTTTGCAGAAGGACGATTACATTTGTACAGACTGCAGATCTTTTATATATAAATATACAGATCTCAGGTTGTGACTTTTGTGTGGACTCTAAGGTGCCGTCTCCTCAACGGAGGTTGGTTGCAGTGGATCTCAGACATACTCTTGTCTAGTTGTACACACTGTTGGCTGTCTGTCCCATCTCTTGATGTTATCTTTCCAACTGTATCACTGTATACTTCCTAAACATAAACTTTCAGTTTTTCCCTTTAACCCGGCTAAATAAACAGTGAAATGAAGGAATCCACCGCCCGCTTTATATGAAATATAAACAGCACAGCAGAATGGGGACAGCTGTATAAGACTTATGCCCACTCTCCCCTCTAAGAAGATAATGGGCCTTAAACGTGTGGGCCGCGCGCCCCCCCCCCCCCCCCCCCCCAATTCTTTAAAAAAAAATTCATAAAGAAACAGATCAAATGGTTTGGCCAGTTAGTAAGAATGGGTCCAAAACAACTACCAATGCGGACACTACACGTGAAAATATCTGGAGTGAAAGCAATAGGCCGCCCTAAGAAAAGATTGATGACATTAAAAAGCTTATGCATCGACATGGAATGACAATAGCCGTTGCTGTGGATCGCAAAGTGTTCCTCCCTACACCGCTTAACAGCAGAAGTGAAAACTTATGAATCTACATTTCATAAATTGTTTGCTAAATACAATGAGATATATAAGGGGAGCAATCAATAAACAGGAAAAGAATGATGCATTCAGTGGATTGTATTCTCTGGAGCCTAAAACAAATATGTATCAGGTGATTCATGCTCTGACCTCTATCACGAAGGCTTACACACAATATTTTTAGTCAGGCTGGCTCTAAAGTTGAGTTGAGTTGAATAAGAATTGACATCACAGCACTCGGGGCATTCCCATGCATGCGCGGTCCTCATCTTCAGCAGCCAGCACAGAGTTCCAGTACTGATGGTACCGGTCACAATCTGGTAAAAAAAGTCCGCCTTGCCTTTCCTCTGAGTGTAGTCAGCTGGCCAGACCCTCTGGTTACACCCAGGTGCCTCATTCTCTCCAGGCCATATTAATCTTCTTTCTCTACTGATTCCGTTGCTTATGCCCAAAGAGCCTTGACCACATCTGCCTTGACATGTATCAATTCACCACCCAGTGGTGCAGATCTAGCCAATCTGTCTGCCTGTTCATTACCCCATCACACCACCATAACCGGGAGAAAAGATCCAAAGTATGCTCACCACCCGTGACCTTTCCAGTGAAGCTTGCCACTCCCTGGCTTTAAAAAAAAGCTGTTAGATTTGCAAAGAAACCCTTCTAAATGTTATATTCAATTAATATGTTAATATTCATGCCTCCTTAACACTATGCAGATGCAAATAGAGTCAAAGGCAAGGTTAACCACGTCTGATTTGTGGGACACAATTTGTCGTTAAGGCCCCTCCCTGGCTGTAGCCGGGGGCCCTAACATAACCTAACAGTTAAACTGGGTTTCTGGGACTTGTGCCCGGGTGATCTTCATCCGAATGGTAGCACTTTATGTCACTGGGTGTTGCTCATTCGTTGAACAGCCCTGGTGGGGTTGAAGCACATACATACATAACAAAGCCATTAGTGCATATGGAGGCTGTGTCCCAGCTGGAAGTGACTAGATTTAACCTTGTTAGACTAGTGTTGCAAAGTGGTCAAAATATTTCACTTCCATCCTTTATTTGTCACGAGTTCCCTTGTCTTGCAGTCTCTCTCTTGTTGAACCTCTGTATTTGATTGTGCTTTTCTGTTTTAACCCACATCTTCAGATCCTGAAGTCAACTGTAATTGCCTACTCATTTCTGTGTCACCTCTGCCATCATCAGTTATTACAAGCTTATGAAGTCTTTTCTTTTTGTATCACACCAGCGATATATGTAACTTCCAGCTCAAGACAGTTGCTTTCAGCAAACCTTGAATTAGTTGCCTTTGCTGGGGGGGGGGGGGGGGGGGGGGGGGGGGAAGAGGTCTGTCATAATGAGGGCCTCGGAACCAACAGTTCTCTTTTGCTAAAAATTAATCTCATATCCACACTATCCAGTTTGTGACAAGGTCAATGTATTCAGCTTTTTCTTAGGATGTCCAGTTCAGCCAATTATTCAGTTTGCTTAAGTTTGCTGTCTTTGTTAAAGTTGAAAAGGTTTGGAGACTGCTGAGTGTGAACATGGCAAATCTATGTTGAATAGTAGTAGTACCCCACCAGGACATCACACAAGCCTGATGACACAAAGTACCACCATATGGATGAGGATCCCCTGTGGAGAGGTCCCAGAAACCACGTTCAGCCATTAGGCCATATTAATATTGCATCCCCTGGCAAGAGCTAGGGTAGGGCTTTAAAATAACGAAAAATTGCAACTCACAAGGGAATGACTAAGGTATATTTTTTTACGTAGAATTCTTCTTCTTCTTCTTCTTCTCTTCCACCTTTTACCTCATCGAAGTGTCGGGGGGAGATGTAATGTTCGTTGATGAGCTCTGTCAAGAGCACTATTAGGACTGATGTTCATTTCTGTAAGGGCGTTCTTAATGCCATAACTCCATATTTTCCGAGGTCTTCCATTCGCTCTATACCCGTTGTAACGTTTTAGTGTGGCTCGCTGTGGCGGATAGTACCAGGGCATTCTTGTTAGGTGTCCAAACCACTTTATTTGTTGTTCTTTGATGACCTGTAAGACTGGCTTTTTTACTAGCATTCGTCTGATTTCATGACTTTGTATTCTGTCTTTCCTTGAAACTCCTGCAGCTCTTCTAAGGCATTTCATTTCTGTTGTCACAATTTTACATTCATTGGAGGATGTAAGTGTCCACGTTTGGCATTGATAGCATAGTGTTGGCCAAAAAACAGTTCTGATAAGATTCACTTTAGTACTCCTAGGTATCTGCTTGTGTGTCAACAGGGGAGATAGTTGTCCCATTACTTGATTAGCTTTGGCACATCTGGAGCTAATGTCAACAGGGGAGATAGTTGTCCCATTACCTGATTAGCTTTGGCACATCTGGAGCTAATTTCTCTGACCAGTTTTCCGTTGGATGTAAAAATTGCTCCCAAATACTTCTGTTTGTTCCTCTGTTTGTCTCCGGGTGTTGTTTATGTAGAATGAAGACTGAAGTGTCTTGAATGGAGTGTATAAAACTAAATTTCTCAACTGGAGTGTATGAAACTGATAATTATTTGCCTCAGTCATGATGTGGTTTAATTAACTTTTAAAGGAATATGTGTCATTTCTGCGTAATGACTTTGAATTTATAGCATTTGCAAGCTGACCACAATAAACAGTTGGAAAGCATCATGGTATTCTTCAGTTGTTACTTTGCTCATTTTGTATTGAATGATTACTTCCCTAAACCTGTTCCCCACTCATTTAAAAACTGACTTTCTGTTCTTATAGTATCATATAAGGTTGGTGCAATGTGTCCCAACTTTTATTTGTTTGATGCCATTCCCAGCAAAACTTTCCTAAAGTTCTTTTTGCCCCAATTAACAAATTCTGGACAAGTACATTTCTTAATTGCTTCCCTTAACAATCAGATCCCCCTTCCCCCAGTGCGGCTTGAGAAACACTGTTACAGTGTTTATTAGTTAATGGCATCTCTTTGCAGTAGTTCTCGTCAGTTGCAAGCTTATCACAATAAACAGTCTGAAAGTGTCATGGCTTATCTCTATTGCTTTAGTCCGTTTGTCGTCAGTTGCAAGCTTACTTCAAAAATAAATATTTTTCCTGGTTTAGATGATTCGGACTTTTTTTTTTTTTTAAACTGCAAAGACAGAACTTCACTACTGCCAGTTTTTTCAGTGGCCTAGGAGTTCAACTCCCACCCGATATAACAACTGAACAAGACTTCGGATTTCTTCTGCCTTTTCTCTGCTGGTTACTTAGGGTAGAATTTCGAGTTTTCGGAGAATTATAGTTTTTTTTTAAATGGAATTTGTTTTAAAAAAAAATTTTCTAAAGGCTAGAACCTCTGAAGCGATGCTTGCCATTCTGCAGGAGCGTGCCTGTCTCAGCCTTTTTCAACATGCTCTGTGAGTCAGTTCCAATTATGACATATGTGCAGATGATTCTCAAGGCAGCAGTGACTGTCTCTACCTTCATTCTCAAACTAACTAAATGTTGTGATATCATATGCCAGGCTGTATATCTCCATATTACTGTTGCTACGCATCCCCAATCACTTTGCCTCTCAACAGACTCATCTGTATAAAAGTAAATGTCCCTATTCCATGCCTTTAGGGCTAGACCCATATTTGTATAGATTTATCGGCACAAGATAGGTGATGTGGTCAGAATGACACAGGCCGCCTTTACTTCCCAGGACTGCACTAACTCAAGGCAGGGTACCAACTCAAGGCTCGGCAAAGAGTGAATCCACGACCTTCTGATCCGCAAGCAAGAGTCTAGCCGCTAAGCCGTGGCGACTCCCGAGCCATCTTTATAGATAATCAGATCTCTTGCCATGAATCATCAAGAGATGGACAATTTAGTTTATCTAGGAGCATTTTCGACCAAGACAAGAGTCAGAATGTGTGGCAGCCAACTT